TTGTCGTTATTGTTGAGGTCGCTATGGCCGATTTTCCAGTCACGCCGTTCCACTTTTCAGCATCTGCTCCGACATGCGCCTTAAAATGTCCCCTTCTGTTAGAATGAACACATACATCGGCCTAACCGCGCGTCTTGATATCGACACCTGAATAGAGTTGGTTCCATTCGCATAGGTTGAGAATTGCATAGCCTTATCTCTTCGTTGCCGATAGTTCAGCTATGTCGAGTTGGTATCTTGCGACCTCATCAAGTAGCTGCTACTCTTTCCCTCTGACAGGATATGTTCCTGTTTCTGACTGTGACCTCCCACTGGCGGTATCGTTCTCGGGGAGCCTTTTTTGACGTACTGTAATGGCATCGTTCTGTCTGCCTCCTCCGTTCAGAACGCGAAGCGACTCCGTTACTGATTGAAATGTTCCTCGTTTTCTTGTAGATTTTCGTAAGCCGTTGCTTTGTTGATATACCCCTTGCTGCCAGATATTGAGAAGAAGGTTCTGATCTATAGCTTTTAGCAGTGTGTCTCGGTTCCCAAATGGTCTGTGCATCCCAGGCGATGATCGAGCTGGTATACCATTTTATTAAGGTACCTCAGTACCTTGAGGGGCATGTAACTAAGTTTCCCAGGAACATCGCCACAGTCCGTAGTTATTCTGGTTTTCTCCCTGTGCTTAGCTCCAGCAACGGCACAGTTAAAAGAAAAAGTTTAAGGGAAAATCGAAAAAGATAAAATGGACAGAAAAACTGAGGAACTTTGGCCGTAGACAGGAAGTCAGGAAGGGAATAATACGTTGGAAAAAGAGGAAATGAAGGCAAAAGAAAATGCGGAAGAGTTGGAAACAACGACAAAAATATGAGAAAGAGAATAACGAAAGAAATCACATCTTTTGATGCGAGTTATAAATATGAAGGAGGGAAGGAAGTGTGGGTTGCAAAAGTAAGAACTTAGAATCCGGAACTGAAAAACAGCTGAGGGGTTAAAATTTGATGGGAAAGGAGAGAACGAATAGCAATTTGAACAGGAAAAAGAAGTGTGGGAATTTAGGAACTACCGAAAGAAGGAAGTAGTTGAGATGAAATAGTCGGGAAATTGGAGAGGTATGAAGTGAACCAAAAATGCGAGAGGAAAGTGACGCAAAAAGAAAGAGAATGGATCGAGAAGGCAAGGAGCTTTTACGACAATGAAGAACGCTCAGGCTAAATAAAATATCTGAAGGGGAAATAACCTAGGAGGAAGGAAACGTAGGAAAAATGAATTGTGGAAAACAGAAACTTGGAAAGAAATGAGGATAAAAGCATTTAATGGAGGAATTGATTATCTGGAATCATTAGGAAGGGATTGGGTACGGAGAGAGGGCAAAATAAGTACAAACTTTAATCATTTAAAATATCGTCTTTGAGCGTGCAAGGTATGTTCACAATGTGTTGGCTTCTGTTGGTATACAATTCTCCCAGAAACCAGCCTGGCGTCTGGATTTGTGTATGGGGGTTTATTGCCGAAGGGGGATATAAAACAATGACTGTGGTGCATTTGTTTTGGTTCATATTGCTGGTAAACTGAATGACTTCTGTTAAACATTTCGTCTCCTATTTATCCGTTCCTTTGAACGTAGTTCCTAAACGCTATTGGTATCGACGATCGAATCTTATTCAGATCTATGGATAGCGTTTCCTGAACATATTGGTCCTCTGCCGTCTGAACTGAACGGTTACGAAGTTAGTTAGAAAACTGACGTTTCATCTGAGTGCTGTTGACTGAATTTTACAAGGTTAGGAGCGCGGTGGCACAGTGGCAAAAAAGTAAGCTTCGAACTCGAGAGATGCCAGAACGATTTAAGCAGTAACCGCGAATTTGCCTGAGGAAGAAATTTACCCCAAGTAGCTTCGATGCGACCCTCTAGGAAATGGGTAGCAAACCTTTGACTTGTTGAACTTACTTGAAGTACAAGGACAGCATGATATAACCCATATCGTTGTTGTCATGACGGCCTTCCCAGCTACATATTTGTACCTTACTCTGTAATTGTTGTTGCGCCTGCCCTTTACAATGCTTACACCGTATGTACTAAACATTTAATTTTGTGGTATATATTTAACCTTATATTTTAACACCTACTAAAATCTTTACCATCTACCTTAATTATTTTGGCATTTTCTGTTCACACTGACTTGTTACGTTCTTGTGGAATGCCAGTTGTTTTCGATTCGTTAGGAAATGAGAATTACTGCTTGTCCACTTTTTGCATTCAGCCTGTAAAGTATTGATATTGAAAGTCAGTAAAATAATTTAGGCTGGTATGAAGGCTTCAATAACCGTGATCGCAGGACTGGTTGGTTTCCGGCTTCGAAAACCGAGGAGGTCATCTCTGACCATATTAGAGCAAAGCATTTTCGCGAGAGACTGCGGGTTTTGCATGAAGCAGAGCGACTGCACGCTCAATACTTAAACAAAAAGTGACCACGATACTCCGTGCCTTAGAAAGTTCAGAGTCCGAGGAATTTGTTGATCCGGGTAGTCGAACTCTCCCAAGTCTCAAACTTGCATTTTGCAAGCCAGGCAGGTTTTCGACCTGGCAGAATGTGTTCTCTAAATCTTCGGCGGTTACTCATGAT